ATATGATCAACATGTATAAATACATCAGTGGTTCATATAGTGAACTCAGTGTAGAGCTATTCACCCTGAGGTCATCACAGAGGACAAGGGGGCACTCTTTACGTCTGGAGGAAAATAAATTTAATCTCCAAACACGGAAAGGTTTCTTCACAGTGAGAGCTGTGAAAATGTGGAATAGACTCCCCAAGAGTTGGTTCTGGCCAGCTCACTGGATTGCTTTAAAAAAGGTCTGGATTATTTCTTAGATACACAGAATATAACTGGATACTAACATTTATAGGTAAAGTTGATCCATGGAATATTCGATTGCCTCTCGGGGGATCTGGAAGGATTTTTTTCCCCTGCAGGAGCAAATTGGATTGTGCTTTGCTGGGTTTTTTGCCTTCCTCTGGATCAATTGTGGGCATAGGATTATAACTTTTTTTTTTTTTGGTTGAACTGGATGGACTTTTGTCTTTTTTCAGCCAGACCAACTATGTAACTATGTATATGTAAAGCAGTATACTAGTTTAAAATTAAGGCAGAGCTACTAAAATCAGGGCCCAGTTACTTGTGGTGCATTAAGGCAGGCCATTGAATTGAATGGGCTGCCAATATACCCTAGCATTCTAAAAACTGAAAGTGAACATTTTTTTTAGCACGGCACACTGCAAGGCACTACTGTGCATTGTGCCCTGCTACAATGCAGCAGCATTGCCTTAGTGTATAGAGGAGTGATTCAAAATCAATGGCAATGCAGTTCCGGTAGGCATATACCATTCATTGCCATTCATAATCACAATACAGAAGCATAAATGAGCCTTTAACCCTTTCACTGACAGAGATGTTTTTGCAGTTTTTTTACTTAAAACTTCAAAACATTATATAGCTTCTTAAAGCAGACACCCTGGAGCAGGGGCGGACTGACCATTCAAGCACTCGACACTGCCCGGGGTCAGTAGGGGGCCCCATGAAATGCCCCTGGTACCTTTTATAGGCTTTTTTGGGTGTCCTTTGAGTGTGGGCAAGGACACAGGGGCCCCATGATCCCCTATTGCCCGGGGGCCCCATGAGTTGTCAGTCCGCCCCTGCCCTGGAGAATAAAATGGTGGTAGTTCCAATTTATGTCACATATTAGCACAAAGGTTTATCAAGTGCAACATTTTTGTAAAAAAATACACTAAAGTTAACCTTGGGGCACAAAAGGCGCAATATATTACCCAATTTTTGGTAATAATATAAAAAGATGAGGTTGTGCTGAATAATTAGATACCCAACATGTTAAGCCGTAAAATTGTGTGTGCCCATGACATGGCAACAAACTTGAAAATTTTACATTTTCCATAGACAATGCTTTACCATCAGTTTAGAGTTATCAGGTATGCTAAACCCAGGACCCTGCATTCACTATATCTGGTCTCCCACAGTACACAGAACATGGAAATGCAATTATTTTAGTAAATATAAACTGATAAATACCTTTTCTCATGAGCAGTATATAGCTGTCTTGTGCCTTCTATCAGTGTCCAGCTGAGCACTGGCCAAAGCTTGTAGGAGGAGTTTTCATTCTGCACTGACTGTCCTATGAAGCTGCATAACCCTTGACCCTCTGTCTGGACAGTGCTGATTAGCCCTGTGCTGATCACATGCACCCTCCCAAATAAAAAAATTAATCTCTAGCCATACACACTAAACTGAGCATGTGCAGAGTGACTCCTAGAGCTCTGTACTATCAGCAGATGGATTGGGGACTGTGGAAGAAAGGGAGGATCAGAGAAGACAGAATCAAACAGCCTTTTTACACAATGTGGAAGATTAACTCCTTAGGTTCCACAGTGAGTATAACAAGCATGCTTTCCTGTATATACAGACTGATTTTACTGTTGTGAGTTTAGTAACACTTCAATAATGGGCCAAGAATTATTGTTCTTTTACTGGCATGCATGGCAATATGTAACACGCTTACGTTTTTGTAAATAAGTGTTCTGGTGCATGTGTTAACGTTCGTTTGTGCATGTGTGTGTATTTTTTTACACTTTTTTTGGTCACTTAACTTTATTCTTTTTTCTCATAAGGGACCAAAAATCTTCTATTTGATACAATTATTTATGACAGATATTCTTTAATGAAACATCAGTGGTCTATTAGATCTTTGATGTCTCACCTGTCCTCCATGCTGCATTAACTTCTTCCCTGATCACAGCAGCAGCGGGGGAAAATGAGAGCAGGAACTGGAAGGGACATTAGGTAGGGGAGATCAATGAACAGACATTCGCTGGTCTCCCTTCCCTCTAGCTAACGGCACCTGCCATGCATGGGGGTGATGAATTTCCCAGGGGTGTGTTGAAGCAATTGTGGGACTAAACAGCCACTGACAGTCAGCTTTTCAGATTTACACACAATGGGGTTGATTTACTAAAACTGGTTCACTCAGAATCTGGTGCATTTGTGCATGGTAGCCAATCAGCTTCTAACTTCAGCTTGTTTAATTAAGCTTTGGCAATAAAACCTGGAAGCTCATTGGTTTCTATGCAGAACTGCACCAGATTTTGCACTTTCCAGTTTTAGTAAATCAACCCCATTATGTGTTTAAAATCCAATGCTGCTGCTGATGTATGCCATATGTTGGGGCCAACGAAAAGGTTAAACCTATCTAATCACAAAAATGTAATATTTTGCAGCCCTTAGATGTCTTGGTTGCATTAGTTTTCATTTTTCAGGCTAAAAACATTTTCAGCAAGTACAGAAAGTACCTCTTGATCTTGCCAGAAATGCGGTGTCCTTGTCACTTCCTGTGAAATGAAAAAAAGCACAATGTTATTTTTTCTTGTGTAACTTCTAGTCCCAACGCCAACAACTATGTAATGGAGACCAGCTTGTGTTTACAGCCATGGCTTCCTCCATGGATACAGTGGAGGAGTGAGCGTAGTCAGCAAATGTGTTGTTTTGTGGGATCATCATGTGAAAATCAAGGGGAAACAGTCTGAAAGTGTCAACTAAAGCAGCCCCTACATCTAAGAACTTCTAAACTGCAATATATGATATATTTATATGGGGAAGGGAGTGTTAAGATGTGTTTGAATCAGGGGCGGACTGGCCATTTGGAAACTCTGGCACCGCCCGAGGGCCCGGGGTCAGTAGGGGGCCCCATGAGATGAACCTGGTACCTTTTTCATAGGCTTTTTTGAGTTTGGGCAAAGACACAGGGGGCCCATGATCCCCTATTGCCCAGGGGCCCCATGAGTTGTCAGTCCGCCCCTGGTTTGAATACAACCAATGATCATTATTTTTAAGCTCCCTTCCAGTAAGAAGCTAATAGACATCCAAGGAGCTGACACCCCACAACGTTTTGGGGGTGTGCCCAAAACTTTTCTAACTTGACACATATCTGCTCAGCTACGTATGACATGTGGAGGAGCAGGAGTGGTTACACACCTTTTGAATTTTTATACACATGTCCGCTAGAGAGATTTTTTTCAGAATTAGCTCTTCATCGTCAAGTTTTACAGACAGAGACAGGGGCGGACTGACCATTTGGAAACTCGGGCACTGCCCGAGGGCCCAGGGTCAGTAGGGGGCCCCATGAGATGCCCCTGGTACCATTTTCATAGGCCTTTTTTTGAGTTTGGGCAAGGACACAGGGGCCCCATGATCCCCTATTGCCCGGGGGCCCCTTGAGTTGTCAGTCCTCCCCTGGACAGAGACATCTTCTTTAGGTAGGTTACAGGTTTTGTAAAGTAACTAATTAAAAAAAGGCTGTATACACATCTGTAACTTACAACAGACTAAGATCACAATTTGTTTCTCATTTACACCAGTAAATCCCTTCCAGGGTATGCTGCTGATCCCTTGCATCCTGCTTGCAGCAACTTCCTGTCTTCATGCATGTGCTGCAGTGGTGGCTGCATATCATTGCTCAAGGAGGTGTTGCAAAACATGCCTGAGCAATTTGCATTGGCATGCTCACTTATAATCTCCATCAAATGGGCATGTGACAGGTGACAACGTATAATAGTTGACAGACTGGAACAGAGCGCTGTCATGCTATAACAGAAAGTTTCCGAAGTAGGGCCCTTATGGCAGGTATTATTTTAATGATTTAAAAAAAGATGAAAATAACTTTTGAAATTAAAGTAACATGTTAAAGCTTATATGAGATTTTTAGATATCGCGGTTACATTTATTTATTACAGGTACCTATATAGTGCCATCAATTTACACAGCGCTTCACACATGTTGCTTACATATACATTAACCTAATTGAAAGAGACCCCACTAGACAATTCATTTCAACAATAATCCTCCCATAAGATTATACACTATATTGACAAAATTATTGGGACACACATGAACTTTAATGGCATCCCAGTCTTAGTCCGTAGGGTTCAATATTGAGTTGGCCCCGCCCTTTGCAGCTATAACAGCTTCAACTCTTCTGGGAAGACAGTCCACAAGGTTTAGGAGTGTGTCTATGGGAAGGTTTGACCATTCTTCTAGAAGTGCATTTGTGATGTCGGAGGAGAAGGCCTGGCTCGCAGTCTCAGCTCTAATTCATCCAAAAGGTGTTCTATCGGGTTGAGGTCAGGACTCTGTGCAGGCCAATCAAGTTCCTCCACCCCAAACTCGCTCATCCATGTCTTTATGGACCTTGCTTTGTACACTGGTGCGCAGTCATGTTGGTACAGGAAGGGGCCATCCCCAAAATTCCCACAAAGTTGGAAGTATGAAATTGTCCAAAATGTCTTGGTATGCTGACGTCTTAAGAGTTCCCTTCACTGGAACTAAGGGGCCAAGTCCAACCCCTGTAAAGCAACCCCACATTATAATCCCCCCTTCACCAAACGTTCTGGCAACTGCCAAATCCAGACACATCCATCGGATTGCCAGACAGAGAAGTGTGATTTGTCACTCCAGAGAACATGTCTCCACTGCTCTAGAGTCCAGTGGTGGCGTGCTTTACACCACTGCATCCGATGCTTTGCATTGCACTTGGTGATGTAAGGCTTGGATTTAGCTGCTCGGCCATGGAAACCCATTCCATGAAGCTCTCTACACACTGTTGTGCTATTATGAAGGCCACACGGAGTTAGAGGGTCTTTAGCTATTGACTCTGCAGACAATTGGCGACTTCTGCGCACTGTGCGCTTCAAAATGCGCTGACCCCACTCTGTCATTTTACATGTCCTACCACTTGGTGGCTGAGTTGCTGTTGTTCCCAGTTACTTCCACTTTGTTATAATACCACTAACAGTTGACTGTGGAATATTTAGTAGCAAGGAAAGTTCACGGATGGACTTATTGCACAGGTGGCAACCTATCACGGTACCACGCTTGAATTCACTGAGCTCCTGAGTGCGACCCATTCTTTCACAAGTGTTTCTAGAAGCAGTCTGTATGCCTAGGTGCTTGATTTTATACAACTGTGACCAGGGGTGTATTTACCACAAGGCAAACAAGGCATTTGCCTAGGGTGCCATTTTTCAGGGGGGCAGCAGCATTTTTCAGGGGGGCAGCGCCATCCCCTGAAAGAAGGAAAGGAAGAAGGGACACACAGCACAGGGACCAGGTGGAATCTGAGAAAGGCTGCAAGCTGCTTGATGGTGTATGCAGATCCTGACTCTTGTTCCTGGGGATATCCGGAGCTGTGAAGGTGAGTGTCTTATCTCTTTCTGAGGTGGGGGGCTTGCCAGTGTATGGGGGGCGGTGGTAGTGGAAGGCTCTCTTGGGCAAGGGGGCTGGGGTGTTGTTGGTCAATGTCAGACTCTCTTCGTGGGGGAGGAGGGTGTTGGTCGGTGTCAGGGTCTCTCTGTGGGGAAGGGGGGGGGGCAATTTTTGTGTTGCCTAGGGCAGCACAAAACCTAAACACACCACTGCCTGTGACCATGGAGGTGATTGGAACACCTGAATCCAATGATTTGGAGGGCTGGCCCAATACTTTTGCCAATATAGTGTATGTGCATTTGACATATTTCATTTATTTAATGTTGACCTATAAAAGCTCCCTTGTGTAGACATACAAAAGTCCTGAGACTGCTGCTAAGGGCATGTGATCAGACTTAAACTGTGACTCCATTGACACTCTATAATAGGATTCCTCTTTGCTCCTCTCTAGAGAGGAGCAGATTGGCTGGGCCAGCACAGACCTTAATTAAACACTTCCAGTAGAGGAGGGAGTGGGCTATGTTAGGAGATTGACTCTTCCTAGAGTAGTAGAATTTTGTAGCCAGTTCAAAAGCACACGGAAAGTGAGTAAAACATGATTTATAAAAAGGAAAATCCTTGCAAGTGAGCACAAAGATACTTGATTTTTCTGTGCTTTTACTTGCAAATTTTTAGGTTGGTGACAGGGTCTCTTTACAACTTTCGGCTGTAACAGGTCCACAGATAACAAAATCTCACTTTCTCTGCTTTTCAATTGTTGCAAATTTGTTTTGGGTCAGTGATTCAGCAGTACTTAAGGCAGGCACAGCCAGACAACCAACATGTTTATAAGACCAGCAAAGCCAGCTTCCATATTTCTCCTATGACAAGTGTACTGTACAGGGGCGGACTGACAACTCTTGGGGTCCCCAGGGCAATAGGGGATCATGGGGCCCCTGTGTCCTTGCTCAAACTAAAAAAAAACCTATGAAAAAGGTACCAGGGGCATCTCATGGGGCCCCCTACTGACCCCGGGCCCTCGGGCAGTGCCCGAGTTTCCAAATGGTCAGTCCGCCCCTGGTACTGTGACTCAGGTTACAGAGCTCCCAGCAATGTATGTGCAATCTCTTCACTAACCATAATGTGTTCCAATCTTTTAAATCATTTTCACGTGTAAAACTGGTCACACATTTTGCAATCTGATTGGACAATCTTCTTAAAATCCGCCCTCGACTGTATAGTGCCAGGGCCTACCTAAACAATCTATTCAATTTGTATCTAATCAAGTAGATCCTCATGCTGCATAATAGAGTATCAGAGATTGTACTGTTATGAGCATGGCCAACTTTTCATGCATCCAGCAGCTTTAATTGAATTTGTATCCTTTAAGCTAGGTTCACACCTATGCAGGTTGCGTTTGAGCCATTTCTGCATTGCGTGTTACGTTTTTGCTGCGTTTTGCGTTTTCTTTTTTTTTTTTTTCTTGTTGCTAGGCAGATTTAAAATGCAAAACGCAGGAAAAACACAATACATGCTTTTCTGCAGCATTTCCATTGAAGTCTATAAAACCAAAAATGCAACTTTTTGCATTCAGAAAAGTCCCTGACCCTTTCAAAAATCGCACCGGGTGAAAACACAGAGATGTGAACATGTCCCATAGGAAATCATCTTAAATGGACTGTACTGCGTTTCTGCAAAGCGCTGCGGAAAATGCTTAGGTGTGAACCTAGGGTTACCCTGGGAGAAGCTACAATATTCACAGGTGTTAGGTAGAGGTGAATACTAAAAGAGAAGTTGGGTATCAAAAAAATCAATGCCAGCATACTAGATCCACCACACTATATTCCATAAATGAACACAAACACAGATTTTTCTTATTTCTTGGTCACAGCTTTAATACAAGAAATAAGGTTAACATGTCCCAGTATTAACATCACAAAATACACAAACAACATCAAAGCAAAAACATTATATCTAATGAAGCTGGTCCTTGACAGAGTCCCTAACATCAGGCTCTGCTAGCCACCCATACCTGTGGACAGAGCTGGTCATCATAATGGGGATTTTGTCATCAAAACAGACTTTTTCCTTGTTTGGTGTTTCATGCGTTTTTACTTAACCCCTTCAAGCTGGCGCCTCCCGGCTCTTTAAGAGTTTCAGAAGCCAGGAGGCGGGGCGGGGTTTAGAGCCATGTGACCGCGGTCATAGGATCGGGAAAGGTCCCGATCGAAAGAGGAGATCGGGATCTTTCTGTGAGTACCGGACATGTGCACAGGGAGCACGCAGGGCACGCGCTCTCAGCACATATGTTCTTTTTTAATGGAACGCAAATGTGCGGCCGCTCGGTGTCTAGGCCCAGACGCCGGGAGGCCGCACATTTGCGTTCGGCCGGCGTGAAGGGGTTAATAATAATACTGATAGGAGCACATTTCAAGTATAAGTGACTCATTATTAGAATATTTGTTATCAATAGCAACTGGATATCACGTATTGAGTATTTGTATTGGTATTTTTTGAGTGCAGCTATTGTTTCACTGTTTGTTTTATGGTTCACAATTTGTTTGGATTTTGTTGGCACTCAGCTCAGTTACATCATTATCACACACTTGTATACAGGGGCAGACTAACAACTCATGGGGCCCCTGGGCAATAGGAGATCGTGTGTCCTCGCCCACACCCAAAAAAGTCTATGAAAAAGCCAATGAAAGGTACCAGGGGCATCTCATGAGGCCCCCTACTGACCCAGGGCCCTCGGGCAGTGCCCAAGTGCTGAAATAGTCAGTCCGCCCCTGGTTGTATACAATAACCCTCCACCAAATGATACGGTACATATGAGTTTCATTGCATGTTGGCACCACCAAGGATCTGTGGTTGCTGAGAGGAACACCCTCCTCCTATTAACTGACCACCATGACAGCAAACTGAACAAATTCTAAATAAGGTGGAGGGAAAGGGGGGGGGGGACAAATCTCCTTTAACGATCGTTGTCTTATTATGCTCCTCCCCTTCAGTGACACCACTTCCACCCTTTACCAGACCCTACAATCCTCCCCCCCTCCCTGCCTTTTTAGTGGCTCAGCCTATCATGTGCCCTTTTACTTAGGGGCTAAATTTCATCTGGCGAGATCTACCTTGCTATCGCAGTGCAGTACTTAACAGTAAACTCTGGGCTTTGACCCCTACTTGACCATGGATGCCCCACCCATAAATTATTTATTTATTTATTTACAAAAATGACCTATTCCATGTGTGTTCAACTTGGTCGTGTGATAGGCTGGGTTGTTTTTTCCTACAGATCTTCAGTGGGTGGTTTGCGATGACATCAGAGCCACTCTTTACACTGTGAGTGCAGGATGCCATGGTAACACCCCCTCCAGGGTAGGACGGGATGACGTCCTGCACTCACAGGATTTCCTCAGTCTTCTCCGGAGAGTGACATTGGGCTTTAGTCAACATGGAAGACTGAGGACATCTTGTGGCTAAATGGAATCACTGCAGGAGACAGCACCAGGTGGAAAGGTGAATAGTGTAGCCTGAGCTGCTTTTTTATTTTTACTCTCGTGGGGCAGCTTACTAAAATATATATTTACACAGAAATGGGTTTTATATTTATAAAAACATAATTCACCAGAGTGCAACTCAGAAAGAATACTGTTCATTTAATACTTGCGAATCTGGAATGAACAGAGCTTACAAATCAGTGAGCCACAGTCAGCAGATCAATGTCTATACAGCACTTCTGCCTTTGTGGCACATGGGTACTTGGTTCAAATCCCTGCCAGGACATGGTCTGCATGGAGTTTGCATGTTGTTCCTGTTCAGGCATAGGTTTCCTCTGGGTACTCCAGTTTCCTCCAGCACTCCTCAGACATTCTGGTATGTTATTTAGCTGCTGTCTAACTTGATCCTAGTATGTGTGCAAACGCACTTGATATAGGAACCTTAGATTGTAAGCTTCTTGAGCGAGGGATTGATGTCAATGAACAAAATGTAAAGTGCTGTATAAATTGTTGGCGCTATATGAATACCTGTAATAATATTATGAATGGTGTCACAGAGCTCTTTCTGCCAGGGAAGATTATGGAAACAAACATGGAAGTAAGTGTCTGACCCATTTTACAGAATCCCTGGAATGGAATCACAAACACGGAGAGGTTTTCTGTAACCTGAGTATAAAACTGATCACACGCTATCTTTTCTTACAATTATTTTTTTTATCATGGGGTATTTTTATGCACAATTTCCATGCCCAGCCCTAAAAATATTTAGACAATTCACTGGAGGCTATACATAAAAGAGTGTAAGATTGTGTCACACACGCTAAGATTCTCACTGTACAATCCTAATGAATTTTGTTGAAGTGTACAATACCATCACACACAGTACAATCTGCTTAGAAGCAATGAAAATGTTCCCAGGTTTTCCTGCCTTTATTCAATTTTTATTATTAGATTGGGTGTGATGTGGCTCCACACAAATGGGGATTTGGGTAGAATTATGTCTGAATTTAGATTGAGTGATCTTCTTGTGCTTTGTGTGGCCAGAGTATTAGCCAATCTGCATGATTCCAGAATCATCTGAACAGCTTCCACCATGGCTAGATAGACAAGCTGCAGAGCATTATCTACAAACTGCAGAACATTATATTTCTATACTAGTTTGACTTCAGAACAGGCAGTGTAATATCTACTATTGCAGATCCAGAACCCGCAGAACAATATCATCTGTGCTGGAGGACGGCACAGCATTATTCATC